CATTTTCTAGACTCTTTCACATTGGCTGCGGCATTGTCTATAGTTGGTCTCACTTGATTATATTCTTGGGTGTTTCGGTTCGCGTGCACAGCGATCGTCGGGGGCTCAGCTTTGCCCATGGGAAAAAATATGCATACATGCACTGTAATCTGCCTATGTATACACTGATATGTATATATGTGTATGGCATGTACTGTTATCTGTTTGTGTATTGTTTTTCGACGAACACATCGTATGTATACATACGTAGGCACATGTGTGTTTGCATTGGCTGTGCCTTATTAACAGAGAGATGCACTTTGATACCTAGGAATATCGATGAGTGCATAATGCAATGCTTCTTCACTCTATTGCCTACAGTACCTTTTTATGTTGCATTCGGCTTGCCGAGGCAGCTCAGACGGAGGCGCCTCGCTTTTGTCGCCCGGTGTCCCTCCGCGCCTACGACCGTGCAGCCAGCCTCCCAGCTCGTGCCAAACTTCATTAGATTCACTATAGTCATAATAGTCATTATAGTCATGTTCATTATAGTCACTAAAGTCATTCTATTTGTTATAGATTTGCGGTCCTCGCAGGCTTTGGTGTTCTTTCGGAGCTGGCTTTCATCATCTCACCCACACAGACATGTCATTCTGTCGCCGCCACCCAAAGTACAGCATACACTTGCACAGTTGATCAATGCTAGTGTGGAAACATAGCAAAAAGGTGCACACATGTGCGAATCTCGAGAGCGATACATGTACAACCCAGCCGTGGCATTCAACTGGGATTTGAAAGGGTCGTCTGTGATGGCCAGCTGGGCTGTGTGAAGCCGTAGCCACCGTAGCCCTTTGACCAGCGCGGAGGTGTCGCTCCTGCCAGTACTCGTGGCCGGCACCCCGGGCCTTGCCTCTGAAGGGCTATAGTCCATAAGACTTAAGACTTTCCTGGGATTATGGCTTTCTGAGGTTCACTCGCTCCTCTGCCTGAAGCTGCGCCCCTACCTCCGCTCGAGGCGCGCGCAGGAGCGACAGGAGGCTCAGCCTGCAAGCCCTGCGAGCTGCCCCGGCCCGCTCGAGGTGGCCCCTGCTTCGCTTCTTGGCAATGACCCTGCCTTCACCGCAGCAGCGGGAGTTTGCGTCGAGACCCTAGCGGAAACGTGGTGACGGGTCGACGAGAGCAAGACGAGCGGTGAGCAACATAAACGGACAACCTAACAGCCTCGTGATCAAAGTCATCGTGCTATGAATGTGCGCCTTGGGATGGAGTTTCAAGTGTCAGAACTGTCCGGCCTGCCGCCATTGCGGCAAGTGCGAGGAGCAAGAGAGTCCTTCTGCAACACATCCTGGAGCTCTCCAAGCCGACTTGCGAGGCGTGGGCAGTGGGGAGCAGCGCTCAATTCGCACCTTAGCCACTGAAGCGCGAAGGTGCTAAGATGCCCTCGTGTTTGTGTCGGCTACAAGGCTGAGACGGCTTGGGGCCCTAGAGGATCGACGAAATCGCGCTTGCAGCGGACAGCGGATGCTGGACTGAGGTTGTCGCTTTGGGCAAGGGCCGAAGCTGTGTCTCGTCGAAGCTTTCTGTCGAGCGACCACTCTCCTTGCTCCAGGCTCGGGGACCCCAAGGGCTGCTTTGCTGGGCTCAAAGAGCTTTTTGCCCTCGAGGCTCCCGGCCCCCTCTCGAGGATTCAGCGCCGCGTGGGGAACCCCAGAAGCGAAGCGAGGGCAAAAACGGTGGAAGGAGAGTTCCTGCGACGCTCAGCCCAGGTGCTGTTGGCTCTGCTGCCCATGAGCTGCCTCCCTTACGTGCGCAGCTCCCTGAAGGGTGCTGAGCAGGACCGGTGTGACAGCCACGGCTCCAATGGTTTTCGACCTCCGGGGCTTCTGAGTGCAGGACTGGATCATTGGTTTACTTCTCGCTTGGGGCAAGGCCGGCCCCAGGCTGCTGGCGCAAGGAACCCTACATCCGGTGTCTAATTTTCCAGGTTGCGGCTTGCATGCTACAGCTCTCGCCACTTCCATGAGAGGCAGGGGCACAGGGATGCTAGAACAGAGCTGATCACGGCTGCGTGCTTTGACAGTGCCTGTGTTGACAGGCCATTGGTCGTCCGTGTGGACCGGATCAAAGCAGACAGAGCAACACACAGCATCAAAGTGTAGATGTAGAGATGGTTGGGCGTGAAAAGAACTCTTGGACTCTTCAAAGCAACATGCAGCATTATTAACAGCATTATGATTAAGATTAAGAGCACCTCCATACCGAGGCATAGAGAGCGCTGCACTGCCATATTACTGCTGTACGAAATAGTACTCTAAAGCATCCCTTTCACTTGTTTGTCAGATTGACCTGACGTGAAGGCCTCTGACTGACAAGCCGAGACCGGTATGCCTGCTGAAGTGCGGAACCAGCTATAGGAAGTCGAGATGGGCAAGACATGGCAAGACACAGGCCACACCCACCGCCCTCACAGCGCTTCGGCTCCGATGGCTGTTCCGAACAGATGCAGGGCTTTCACGACCGCTTTGACCTTTTCCCTGCATGGGAGAGGCAAAGGAGTGACAAAATAGGGCAGTGCCAAGATCTATGCGCCATCCGTCATCTGCCGCGTCCTCACGTCCGCTTCGGAGGAAATTCATAGCTGCTCGCAGGTCACAACAGAAGCACTCATGGACAGTCTCGTCGCAGAGCCCCGGCATGTCGCATGAGCTGTTTGCATCCGTTCAAGCTTGCTGCTGTCACGCAGGCAGTAGTGTGTTCCGATACAGCAAACCCGAAGTCGCAAGCGAAAGTTCCAGCAGAATTCAGAGTGGAGCTTTTGGTCCCAACATGCTTTGACCCATGGGAGCTACCTGCAGCGTCTACGGCACCGAGCCGCATCCCAAGGGCAAAGAGTCTCTGTAAAGCAGAAGTGGATAGAAGTGGAAGGGTGAAGAGCTTTTGATGTGTTGCAGGTGTCGGAGGTGCATCAACGCAGAGTCCGGGCTCCCCGTGGTGAATGCTAGGCGCGCAGCCACGGTAAGCAGCTAAGTCTTGAAATCTTGAAAGGTCCCCGCCGGACCCCATGTACCCTGTTGGTGTTGGCGGTGTTGCATGGTGTTGATGCGTTTCGGATTCATGTGGGCTGAGGGGCGCCGGAAGCCTCAACAGCGGGATGAGCAATGCAGGTGTTGCAGGATCCCTTCCCTAAAGCAGCCTTCTCTTCCATGACCGCGAGTTTTGGGTTTCTGCTGTCGCCGAGACTGCTGTCGAGCGATTTGGTCTTCAAACGCAGTTGAACTCCCCTCTCGAAGGGCATATTCTTAAGGTCCCCTTTTCAAAGCAGAGCATTCTGATATATCCCCTTGCCAGAGAAGAAGGCTCCCCTGTCGCGGCACCAGGCTCCTCGAAGCGGCCCGCAAGGGAGACTTGGAGGCGCTCTGCCACGCTGCAACGGGGCTCACTTCGGAAGAAGAGTCAAGTCAAGTGAAGGCTGATGAAAAAGAAAAACGAGAGAGAGAAACCTTAAAGGAATCCTCACGCCTGCCTGTGGCTCCATGCAGCACTTCTGCAAGCCTGCGCTCTTTAGCAACCGCCACGCCGCTTAGAAACTTAGGGGGCGACGCAGAGGAGCACCCCTGAACATCCTGAACTCCTCAGGGCACAGCACCGGAGCAGCATCAGCCGCCACTCAGCCCTGGGCCATGGAGCCGCCTGAGGTTGAAGCCCGGATGGAGGGCCGCTTGGCGTTTCTTTGGGGCCTTTGGATGCCTTTGGTGGGGCACACCTTTGTCCCTCGAAGCTCACATAGCGAGTGAGGCATTGGCGAAAGCCTGTCGCAGGTGGTCACTGCAACTCGGCAGGGAAGCTTTATTCAAACGCAAACAGATACCATCGCGCCCCATCTCCAGACATTTAGTGTTTCTGCTCGTAGCGGGTTGCTGGGCTGTGATGTTGCCACTTCGCATGCTCTACGTCTGCTTGTCTCTGCATCCACGCCTTCATTACATTGCACGAAGCCTGGCTTAAATCCACACATCCGAACATGACCTCGCGAGCCTCAGTGTAAATATGGCTTTTGCAACCCTGATCCTTGTCTGCCAATGACTGAGGCCTCACAGATGGCAACGCCGCCGCCATCCGGCGGCGAGTACTGGTTGCTGGGAGCTGGGGACACAGTTCACTTGGGGTAATGCTCATAAGAAGCAGGGCTTGATGCTCTTCTGCCTGACCAGCAACCTCTCAGTCATTGTTTGTTCGCTATCGCCTTCTCGTCTTTTGATATGAGCAGGGAAAGGAGACGGGGAGAGGCTTATTGCTTGCTGCTGTCCTTTTTGTGCCCTTCACTGTCACGGCTCGATCTTTTGAGTCCCGGAGCAAGAAGCAGCGCAAGAGAAGAGATAAAGGCCTCGTTTTCTTCTGGGCATCTGAAGAGGAGCAGGGATAGAGGGAAGGGGCAGAGAGTCAGGTCGGTAGTGGGGCGGAGAGACCGCCTCCTTTCCACAATTTCGTGCACAAAACAAAGAGGGCAATAAGACTCAGCCTTTCGAAGATTCCCTGCTTCTGGCTTTCTCTCTCAGGTTCGTCTGCCTCTCGTGCTGCGCTCTGCTGCGCTTATTCCCTGACTCCGCTCTCGATCTCTTCTTGCCCTCGTTTCGCCACTCCCTTTTTCCTTCGTTCCTTCTCCTCGCTCGCTGAAGCAGGGAAGCGGGTAGACGATAGGGTAGCCGAACTTTGAAATTGAAAAATTTCAACTACCAGTAACCAAGTCTTTCTGACAACAGAGAGAACTGCGATTGCCAGCCATGGCTGAGAGAACTACAGGCAACAAGAGGGGAGAGAGCAAAACAACAAGCAATTACAACAGTGTTGCCGTAGTCAGTAGCCTCGTAAACCCTCAGAGGACGCTTAGCAAACCGTACCATCAGGGGGTACATGGAACAGTGCTTGATCAACAAGACGACCTCGGGTCGCAGTTTGGTCTGGCAAAGGTCACGACAAGCTGTCGGACCATCCTGTGGATCATGGAGGACCAAGGAACATGGACATAGGAGCAATGGTAGACTGGAAGACAAAGGCAAGGAAAAAGGAAAGGCAAAGGACAGCAAGAGGATATCAGAAGCAAGGTTCACAGCAGCAACAGCAAGGAAACAAAGGAAAGCAAAACAACAAAGGAGGAAAGACAAACGGCGAAGGAGACAGCAAGACCAACAACAACGAAGGAAAGGAAGAGAAAGAACACCAAAGACAAAAGGAGCAGCAAACCCCATGCGACAAGTACGGGCATGTCGCTGCGGATTGTTGGTGGCGGTGTCGGAGGATTTGTTGTTTAACAACTGATGAGTCTCGCAGGAACGAGCAGTGCCTGTTGGATCTGCCGTCAGTCAGTGTCAGAGACCCTGCGCGCCCCGAGTGTGGAGTGCCTATCAAGAAGCCCAGAGGACTGAAACAGTTTCACGCTTGTGGTTTCTGTGCCAGCGGGTGAAGCATGAGTGACACTTTACCCGGCACGAGGAAGGTGTAAACAACGAGCATACCCTACCTAGTTCACTACTCTGCCATGTAGATTGTAGAGCCAGGACACAGATGAGCCCAATGCGCTACCGAAGCGATTTGGAGCTCGAACAAAGGAAGACTGAGTTGTTTCTTCGTAATGTCGGTTCTAGGCACACTCCCGCCACAAGAGGGGGCAAACATTATATTCCATCCTGCAGATTGGCTAGTGAAAATCGGTAGAGACCTACCTTTGGAAAAGTGCGTCATGCTGGCGAGTGCAGTTGCATGCACACCACAATCTAAAAGCTAGTGTACCCCACCATACACTCTATCCCGTACAGGACCGTAGGTCCTGCAGCACACACGTCAATGCCACATAGCAACGAGCCTTTGACCTGCTACTGCCCACCCCAAGCCTTAATGAAACCAACCTTTCAGTTGAAGCTTGTTGTGCCATCCCAGCAGCATGTAATCCATCCACGCAACATCCTCGCAGTTCAGGCCTGCAGCTGTTGCCTGAACCGGCAACCTTTCACCTCAACACTTCACCGCAATCCTTGCAACCGCCTGTTAACCTGAACCTGCAGTTCTGTTGAAGCCTCTCGTCCAATCCCTGCAAACCAACTAGAAACCTTGAGCCTAGATATAAACTGACGCCTACAGGTCGGCCTCGCCGTTGCTGGCACCCTGGCCGAGCGCTGAGATGATTGTTCGAGATTTGATGGTGCGATATTCTTGAGGGTCTGCTTCCGTCAGATCGGCAGCAAGGTGGGTACGGTCGGCAAGCAGATGATTCGCCGCGCGGAGATGTACAAACAGGTTCGGCTCGATGGGCACCGCCAGCACCTCGTGCTTGTCAGAAAAGTCATTTCGTCTCAGGACAAGCAAGACCGTGCCAGCCTTTGGCCACGCGGGGAGTCGTCGAAATCTGCAGAGCCAGAGCCTCTCGGATTCCGAGGCGAAAGCGCCATCTTGTTCTATGTGGGCGCAGGGCCCCAGAACTGGGCGTCCGCTGCCGGGCGGGAGACAGCCTTTGCACTGCCAGGTCTGATGCTGCAGGTGGCCTTGAACCCACTCTGCGACATGGCCGGCTATGCTTTGGTGCCTTTGCAGCAGAGATCCAGGGAACCGGAAGTGGTCTGGAAAACCAAACAGTCCAGCCAGAGGCGCCGGCCACAGTGATTGCGCCGGTGACGGGAATGGACATCGCAACTTTGCTTGCAAGAGCACTCGGGCTTGTGCAAGTGTAGGCAGCTATGTTTTGCTTAGGATCATCACATGCGGCCAATCCTTCTTGTGCACTGCAGCTTTCATCCGGAATTCGCTAGAACTCGGGCAGAGCCTACTGCCCAGTCATCACATGCCTTGACCAAATTCCTAAGGTCTGGAACACGGTGATCGCTCCGCGCCTCAGACATGAAGAGTCTCTGCAGATTATGATGTGGAGTATTGCATTGCGCTGTGATGGCAAGGACCATGATCAAGGCTCTGCTTCCCTGCTCGCGCAGGTGCTCTCTGGGTGAGAAGCTGACCTCGCGGAGGTCGGAAGGAATGGGGAAGCGGGTTGAAAGGCCCAGAACGTGAGAACGTCATGAGCAGAGGACTCACTTTCGCGATTCCGGGCATCCAGAGTTTGGGTGGGATCGAGCCATTTCGTGTGTCATGGAGGCTGCTCAGCACCTGCATGATCTTCTTCGCGGCAACCGCTTCGGAGTCTCGCCTTAAATCTAGGCTTTCAGATTCTCACGGAATCAAGATGATCTGAGGTGCTTTTCAGGCCGATCAAGCAGGCCGGGGGACACATCTGCAGCCAACGATCGGCGTGGACCAATCCGAAGCCAGGTCGAGTGGACGACCGAGTATGTGGAGACAGTGTTGCTACAGAACCGCACCCTCTTCTATGGCCTTTGCTTTTTAGCTTGGTGCTGGCCTCGGGCAGCGGGACCTTCCTGTCGGAGCTGCAGGAGGTCTCATTCCTGTCGTCTGGTGTGAGGTTTTTGTGGAACGTGACAGCCCGGATCTTGGAGCAACTGCAGAAGGATATACACGGGCTTCCTGCGCCGAGATCCAAACGCGCTACGAACGGGGGTCTCCAATCCGGGGCTTCTCGCTCGGAGCGACCGCAGGCTCCCTCGCTGGCCGCTTGGCCAAATTAATGGGTACATTGCGATTCCCCACACCATCTCCTTGCGTGGTGTACCTCTGTTCCAACGCTACTTCGCTGTGCCTCGGAGCTCTTGCCAGGTAACATGTGGTGCACGAAGATCACAGCAACACTGGCAGGCCAGAAGTCAAGCAGTCAAGCGTCGTGTGATTGGTCCCCTGTGTCGACGATTGGGCAGGACAATGCGTCGAAGGGAACTGCCACAGCCTGAGATATTGACAGTATGTTTTCCTGCCCAAAGCGATGAAATGCGATGAAGCAGAAGAAGGATGGCTCACTTTTCCAGGTGATGCCTGGGACCATTGGGTCTCCTGGGTGTGTCTCGCTGGAGCCATTTTCTTTTCTACCAGACGCTTGGCCAGTCAAAGGAGTGGTGGCAGTGGTCGGATTTCTTTTCAGCAGGACTTTCTTTTCTTTAGCAGCTTTAGCATTGCCAACCCGAGGCAACCTCTATTACATTTCAAGAGGCATGCAGCAGCACGAGGCTTTGTTCATGGTGACGGCAGCCCGTCTTGCACTTCAGAGCGTGAACGGGCTCATCTTCCCTGACTAGCGGCTGGACGGTTCCAGAAAGCCAGCTTTGAGGTGTACATGGGCTCGAACATCGCCACCAACAGTGCCAACGTCGCAATAGTGATTTCAATAGTGTGTGACTCGCGAAATACGGGGCCGAGCCTGGAGCAGGCTTGAGCGCCATCGTGGTGCTATCAGAGATGGACAACGCTCCGTGGTGGAAGTTCGCGGGTTATATCGCCTGCATTCTCTTCATGATGGCGCCTTGCAAGCAAAAGCGCTGCTCTGGGAGCTTGGGACGCACTTGGGCACGTTGCTAGGTGGGCATGGTTTTGCTCACCTCCGGCGAGAAGGCATCGAGAAGCCCAGAAAACTAGAAGACGAGTGGCCC